ACCATGTCTTAATCTCTGTATCCCAGAGTCCTGTTGTTCCAAGGTTGTACATACATCATTCTTTACCTCTGTCCCACTTAGCCCATTCAAACCTGCCTAATTGTTCTCCCATCTGCTTTGTTCTTCCATTCCCCTCTCCCTTCTTGTATATTGTCCCCCTCCCCAGCACCCAAACTTTTCTGTGTCTAATCCCTGCCCTGTGCTCCACCTTCCCCTCCCTAATTAACTGTATTTAAGGAAGTAATAATTCTTAGAGGAAAACTACTGAATACTTGATCAGAGGAATAAAATATCAGTTATTTTGAACTCCAAACCTATATTTGGTATTTCCTTTTCTCCATTGTTGTAAAATATAGTTGTTAAATTTCAAAATGAACTATTTCAAAATACTGTTTGAGTAATTCCTATTGTTCTTTTTAATTGTCAACATTAGACTGCTACATCGTAATTTAATTTAAGAAGCAAAATAGACATTACTAACTGTCAAAGTCAGTCAAAGGAAGGTTAAGACAATAGTTCATAACTCAGTATAATCGAATGGCAGTTTTTAAAGCTTAATTTCAGCTGAAGTGGTAGAGGCTGGTCATAGCAAAACTTTTTCTCAGATGGTAAAACTTTTATATTAGTTCCTCATTGAAAAAAGCTTTACTGAACACATGCTACGTACTTTGGAAAACAGCAGTGAATGTTAGTGTTCCAGTCCTAAAAGATCCCCCATTAATCAAAAAGATAAACAGTTAATATAATTTAGTGCCCATCATGTTATAATGTGGGACAAAATAAGACTTTCTGCTCTTGTAAGGATTTACAGCCTCAGAAACCCTATACAGAGTCGCTGTGAGTTGGAACCGACTCCACAGCACACCACCACCACCATCACATTACAATAGAGCTCTTCCATCTCAACCATATAACAATTTGTCAGTCTATGCTGGCTTGCGAGTTGCTATGATACTGGAAGCTATGCCACTGTTGTTCCAAATACCAGAAGGGTCACTCCTGATGTAATTTCAGTGGTGCTTCTAGACCAAGGAATAAAGACCTCAGAAATTGACCTATGAAAACCCTATGGAGCATAAATATTGTTCAAAATAAAAATAGTGCTAGAAAACCCTAGATTGGAAGGCTCTCAGAATATACAACAGCAGTGGGCTGTTCACAATAATTGTGAAGATGGCACAAAACCTGGCACATTTTGTTCTGTTGTCTGTGAGGTCTCCAACTCAACTGACAACTTAGAGTTACTTGAGTAGTAATGAGAAGGAAGTGATTGACTGCCTATGGAAGCAGGAAGTTTCACTAGGAAAGTCTTAATAGAAAGCATAATATTTGAATTGACCCTTGAAATAAAGCTTGCCATGCATCTTTTTTTTTTTTTTCTGAGTCCTAGTATGGCGCTGTAGAATAAACACTGATAACCATAAGGTCAGCGGTTCAAACCCACCAGCTGTTCCTTGAAAACTCTATACAGGGTTGCTATGAGTCAGAACTGACTTGAGGGCACTAGACAACAACAGCATTTTTTCAAAAGGAATAAACAGGCATTATGTACAGATGGTCCGGCATGATATTTTGGTGAAACTGTGAGTACAGCAGTGATGTGGGAGCATGAAGTGTGTGGAAAAGAGGATAATTCAGTCCAAATTGTGAAATAAATTTCACCCCAGGTTAAGAATTGGTTAATTCATTATCTTCAGGGGGTAGTCAGAAGTCATGAAATGTTTAGGGAGGGGAGTACCATGATAGATCATTCACAGACTGCTAAAGATAAATTAGAGAGAAGAAGTAGTCCAGGCAATGTATAGGAAGGCTCTTGAATTTACTCGATCTCAGGATGTTTCGATGCATAGTCTTAATAACAGGAGAAGAAAACAGACATGTTGGTGCACTAATCTCTTTCTGTTCATAACTTATATTTGATCATTAATACTGCGATCTTGTCAAAATGCAAATGCACCATTTGCCATCCTCAGGAGATGCTGATGGTTCTGTTCTTCTCTGTGTATGCTTCTTTTGCTCCCTCCCTCCCTTCTCTGTCTCTCTGAAAAATCAGAATCTGTAAGGAAGAATTGGTTGTGACTATCAAGACTCTTCTAACCCATAGATCAGGGATGGCTAAAACAATCTGAGAAAAATATACCTTGATTTCTGACCATTGTCTTGGGGTTGTTGTTTTTTTTTTTTTAGATAACTAAATTGAAAGCTGAAGCCCGACTGGAGCTGCTAAAACAGATTGGTGTTTCTGTGGACACGTGGCTAAAGAGTGCAATGAACCAAGTCATGGAAGAACTGGAAAATGAGCGATGGGCCCGCCTTCCTGCAGTGACCAATAATGGCACTTTACACTCGGTACGTTTCTCTACTTGGATACAATGAGCTGACTTTCATTGATGGATACTATTCTTGCACTCTGTAGCCAAATTTAATAATAACCAAAATGTAAAAGAAGAAACAATGGTTTTGCTAGAGGTTGTGTTTTATTTTTGTATTTTCCTTTGTTGTTGTTGTTGTGTAGTGCCATCGAGTTGACTCTGACCCATAGCAACCCTGTGTAGGCTTTCCAAGGAGCAGCTGGTGAACCACTGACCTTGCAGTTCAAACAACTTTGCAGTCTGTTGCATTAGTCCACAGCGCCACACCAGGACTCCCTTTAGCATCACAAATTGATTTTCCTTAAACTTGGGAAAAAAGAAGAGAGGAAAATCATAGGTGTTTTGTTTTGTTTCTGTTTTTGTTTTTTGAGCCTTCAGCAAACCATATTATCACAAATTGACTAACAGCGTCGATTTTCCAAGCTCATTATCTCATTCAGAGATAATTCTTGTCTGGAAGCAGCAGAATAGAACACTTAATATAGAGTTTCTAAAATCTAGAATTTCAGTAGGTCTTCACTAGTGAAAATGACAATCTAGAAAGTTGTAAACTATAAATTATAGAGATGTGAAAGGAGAGCTCTTAGCCTCTAGGGTATAGTCTGAAAGTGACTTCAACTCACAAGGACTTTCACATTCTCCTCAGAGCATCTTTCCTCAAATATGGTTTTATTGACAAGGCCAGGACTCATGCTTAAGTTTTCTTCAAGTCAAAGGCTCTTTCTATCCTCATATCATCCTATTCAACCTCTTAGTTTTGCACATTGAAAAATGTGACTACCAAAAATTGGAGGAAGACTCATTAACAACCTGCGATATGCAGATGATACAACCTTGATCGCTGAAAGTGAAGAGGACTTGAAATATTTACTTATGAAGATTAAAGAGCACAGCCTCCAATATGGATTGCATCTCAATGTCAAGAAAACAAAAATCCTCACCACTGGACCAATAAACAACATTCTTATCAATGGAGAAAGGATTGAAGTTGTCAAGGACTTCATTCTTCTTGGATCAACTATCAACACTCGCGGAAGTAGCAGTCAAGAGATCAGACGACGTATTGCACTGGGCAAATCTGCTGCACAGGAACTTTTTAAAGTATTGAAGAGCAGAGATGTCAGCTTGAGGACTAGGGTGCGCCTGACCCAGGCCATTGTGTTTTCAATAGCCTCATATGGATGCGAAAGCTGGACAGTGAATAAAGAGGATCGTAGAAGAATTGATGCCTTTGAGTTGTGGTGTTGGAGGAGAATACTGAGGGTGCCATGGACTGCCAAAAGAACCAATAGATCTGTTTTGGAAGAAGTGCAGCCAGAGTGCTCCTTGGAGGCCAGGATGGCTAAGCTTCGTCTCTCCTACTTTGGACATGTAGTCCGGAGGAAACAATCGTTGGAGAGGGATGTCATGCTGGGTAGGGTGGAGGGTCAGAGAAAAAGAGGAAGACCTCCAACGAGATGGATCGGCCAGGTGGCATCATTGATGGACTCGGGGGTGGCAGCGGTGGTGAGGTTGGCCCAGGATCGAACATTGTTTCGTTCTGCTGTGCATGGAGTCGCTATGAGTCGGTTCCGACTCGATGGCACCTGACAACAACAACAACAAAAAGTTCAGTGATGTGTCTGATATTGCATAGGTGGTTATGTAATACATAACTGGTCAGACTAAAGTAATTCTTGCTGACACCTACCCACCCATTGCTCTCTTATCAACCTGTTTCTTTCTTTAATGGCATTTGTTACAATCTGTACTTGTCCTATCTATTTGTTTTCTTCTGACTATTTTCTATCTTCCTATCTGGCATAAAATTCCCATGCCTGCCTTGTTCAGTGCTCTGTAAAGTGTCTGCCACATAGTAGGTACTAAATAAAGATTTGTTGAAGGGAGAAATTAATGAATGCATGAAACTATCATTTTAATCTCCCAACTCCCATTATATCCTTAGAGCATTTTCAGTGTGTGTGCCCTACAAACATAAGGCATCTTTGCTAGAGAAATTAGCCAGCTTTTAAAACATTCCTGGACATTTTGCCAGTTTTCTCACATAACCTTCTGGTTTTCTAATGGGAGTGCATATGCACATTTCAAAAGGATTGCATGGAGATCTGCATTGTAAGGGAAAACCATCTACTGAAGGTTTAATTTTACTTCACTACTAATGGTAATGGGGAGCATGGTGGTTCTGTAGGATAAGTGGTGGACTATGAACCACAGAGTCAGCAGTTTGATTCCACCAGCTGTTCCAAAGGAGAAAGATGAGGCTTTCTGCTCCCATAGAGATTTACAGCCTCGGAAACCATATACAGCATCATAATGGTAATACAACTGGTGAAAATATGTAAGCTAGAAGAGCTTTCCCTGTTTTTAATAGAATGTTGGGTTTTTTTAAGTATTTTTCGTCAGTCCCGATTCATAGCAAACTCGTATAGGGTTTCCAAGGAGCGGCTAGTGAGTTTGTATCACCAACCTTGCTGTTCAAACCAACCTTGCAGTCCAGCGCATGAACGCACAGTGCCACACCAGGGATCCTTTAATAGAATAGAGTCATTCAGTATCATGGAGTATCTCTTTATACAGCATCTTGTAAAAGTCATGATCCCCATCTACTTCAAGTTATTTTGTTGTACAGGAAATAAGAGACCTGCAAATTCCAGGCACAAACTGGCATTTTGCTTTTACAGCACTGTTGCCCATCAATCAAAGCTATGATTCTCCTTGAACTAGCACCTTTCTAATCAAATCAAAACTGCCTGACTGTGCCTACTTCCTGGGAAAATCAGATCTGAACAAGAGTTGGACCTACCTTCAAAGAGCTTACAGTCTGAAAGAGTAGACAGACCTTTATAGATCTTAATGATATATGGCAATGTATGACTGGGCTGCTATGTAGCAAACTCAAAATTACATACTCCTCATCAGCAGTGGGATCTTAGAAAAGTCACTTAACTTTGCGTTTCAGAAAGTTGGATTAAGTGACACCTTCCAACCCTAAATATCCCATATTATATGAAATGCTACTGGGAAGACTTAGTACCAGCTAGAAGGACAGGAGGAGTCCTGGTGTGGCACTGTGGGTTAATGCGCTAGACTGCAAAGTCAATTTCTACCTCAAGGTAGGTGGTTCAAGTTCACCAGCCGCTCCTTGGAAACCCAAAGTGCTATGGATTGGAAGTGACTCGATGGCACTTAACAACACCAGAAGTCTAGGAAAGCACTTTGCCCCATAATAGGGAAATGTCACTTGAAGGAAGTCCTTGAAGAATGTTAGAGGAGGACTTCTGAGAGTGAAGGAAGGGAATGAAAGGAACACCTTTATGGAATTTGTGTCTTCCCTCTTTCAGCTGAGAGATTATATTTTGAGCAAGCTTTACTAACTATATAAATAAAGGAAATGTAGGCACAGAACAGCTTGATGAGGTCCCAATATTTATTTAACCTGTTTTTAAATGACAACATTGAACGAATTTAGAGGGAGCTGTGTCTCTTCACATTGACAGCTAGCTGGCTGTGGTACATGAAGCTGAAATACACATTCTGGGGACCAAATTATTCCATTATAGATGCCAACAAAAGCATTAGTCATCAAGTTTAGAATTCCCTTCCATCTGGAAAACATGTTTGATGATACTACTGTTTGACATTAACAGTGTAGCTGGGAAGTGTTCACACTGCTTTATAGAAGATAAATATTTTCAAATATATTATCTATTTACCTTACAAAATAAGGAAGGAACTGTATACATACCTGGGTATTAACTCTTTGCCTTCTGCATCATGCTGTGATACAGATAATAAGGGAGGGGAAAAAATCCCAAAGTATAGTAAAAAAAAATTTTAAAGAAGAGCAGTGTACTGATACAATTATTCCGTTGCTGCATGACTGAAGTGTACACGTAGCTTCCTATGATTGGATCACTGCCTTCATCCCTCACCCTTCTTATTTTCTTGCCATCTCTTAATCAAAAGTAAATTTGAAAAACCATAACCACTTTACAACCTAATTTTTCAAATCATCTTAGTTTTAGAATAGGATAAATTGTATACCTAGATTACAAAAAAAGTTAGAAAGTATGAGAGAAAGGAAAATTGCCAACAACGCTCTACTTACTACTGTTAGCAATTTGGTGTATTACCTTCATCTGTCTACTACACTTTTTTGTTTTGTGGTAATAAGATAAATGTTGTAACTTTTTTTAGCCTAGCACTTCATGTATGCTGTATGGTCTATAATCATCCTTTTAATATCTGCTTAATATTCCATTAGGAAGACGTATACTTTGCATAACTCTTGCTGTCAAGTGGAGCCCAACTCATGATGACCCCAAATATATCAGAGTAGAACTGTGTTCATATGGTTTTCATGGCTGCTTTGTTCAGAAGTAGATCACCAGGCATTTTTTTTCTGAGACACCTCTGGGTAAACTCAAACGTCCAGCCTTATGATGCGCAGCCAAGCACATCAAGTCATTGCCCCACTCCATCTTCTTTCCAGTGATGAGGTCATTTGAGGTTGAGGAGTTCATTAATGTTCCCAAGGTGACACTGCAAGTTAGTAGCATAGTCAACATTCAAGCCAAAGTGTGTCGGGCCTCCAAAATCTAGAGTGTCACAACGAGTTCATGAAGCCCTTTGAAGGTGGTTTTGCTAAGTACAAGAAGATACTTACTGAAACCAGTTGTGTTTTTTTTTTTAATTCTCATCTGCTCTTACAATAAAAGTACACATTTTACAATGTTGAAGTAAGGAAAATATCAGCACAACTAAAAAGAATAGTTCTGATTGGAATTCCGTCAAATGACAGGAAGGAAAAGGGATGAAAGAATAGGTAAGATAAGAGACAAGGAAAATGTGATTTTAGAAATGCTGGGTCAAGAAAAAATTGTAACAATTAAGTCTCATAGGATGGGAGAGGGAAAAGGAAGAAATTATTCTAAAATGACATGCTTTGGAAAGCTCCTAGAGCAATGCAAAAGCATA